ACTGTAATCTTGCTCACTCTAGTGTTCACTCTCTCCGAACCCATGGAAGGATTGTTGAGATTCCTTTCACGAGAGGATCTCTGTGGTCTCAACACCTTTTGCCAAAGCCAAAAAGCCCTCTGTTCAGACGGGGGGGAAAATTGTTCCTCCAATGATTCACAAGCATGAGTCAAACACGCCCAGCCACCACCTCCACATTCAGCCACTTGAAAAATCATGTTTCGGCTTTTAGGTAAGAGGATGGTGTCATGGGGAGAGTGGTTTTAAATAACTGACTTGAGGTGTAGGCTCCCCAGTGAGATCTGCTCGGACGCAGGCCCTCAGTCAGCCTGTGTTCACTGAGCACAAACGCAGAAGCAGCTTCAGCACAGGACTACGCACAGGAGTGTTCTGGACTTTTATTTCCTAACCCCAACATTGAGCCGCATGATCTGACACTGGGGAGGAACACTGCAAGGCATCTCTTGGCCTCTTTAACCGAGATGCCAGCAAAAAGCACAGCCAGGGGTCCCAGGCCCACCTCCTACTAATTTGCCCTGTGGCCTTTGGCCAGTCTTTGAAGGGGGGTCTCTCTCCGACCCTGGTTTCCTCCTCTACGCGATGAGGGAAAGTGGGGAAGAACCAGTTTGGAACCGCCAGGTTTTGGAGTGGCGTACATCCATAGATCAGTAAAACTTGACAACTTTTGACTACAATAGAGTTACCACTTTTTTTGTCCTGCTAAGCCAGGATATTTTCAAAAACAACTGCCATTTCACATTACCTTTTTGTTTAAAAAAAAGAGAGAGGACAGTTTAATATGTACAAGAGGAAGGGTGTAACCTTTAGAATAAATTCCTCTCTCTGAAGCAATCCCTCCTTTGTCCTTATTTTTTGCATTTCTCACTGGACTCCACTGTCTTCACAGGCTAGCAGTTACTCTCAAGGATTCCTTCCAGCTCAAAGTCTGTGGATTCTGAATAACTGTAGGGGTTGCTGTGTCCCGCCCACCACCTTCTGCACCTGCCCCATCCACCAGGCACCCCTGAGCTTGTGTCCCTCCCGAGAGCACTCACCTGCGGAGGTGAAGGCTATGGTGAGCGTGGCGCTGGTGTAGAGAAATCTGAAACACAGAACGGGAGGTGGAGAATGTTGTCAAGACGAGTGAAACCTGAAGGCGCAGAGTGCGTGGAGCCAAGGCCCACCAACCTGAGGGTCCCAACTGGCCAATTCCTTGAAGAAAAGGGTCAGCGCCTGGTCTACAGATCATAACCTTGAGGTCTAATTCCTCGACGCTGTGTGACCTGAGGCAAGGCACTGCTCTTCTCTGGGCCTCAGCAGTCTTTTCTATAAAAAGAAATCACTGGACTGATCTAGAACCCAAGCTTCAAGTTCTAGAATGTTAATAATTTCAGGACCACGATCCCAAGATTATGGGGATCTCTTAAAAGTCTGGCGGTCTTGTGAGCCATGGGGTAATACAAGTAGTGCTTAAGTGTGATATTCTGATTTATGATAATAAATATATATTTAGTCCTTGTCCCCAGTCCCTGACACAGGGCTGCTCAAACCTTTGTAAATTCCTATGTAATAAGAGCAGTAAGAGCATCTTTTGTTCCAATGAGGAGACTCCGGATGCGGCTGCTCACCGGAAAGATGAGCCGTAATTAGATGCTTGGAATTTTCATCCCCTATCTTCCCCACCAACCCCCACGTCTCCAGAGAGGGGACAGGAGCTGGAAATGGAGTCAGCAGCTGATCATGCCTACATGAGGAAGCCGCCATAAAAATCCCAACAGTATGGAGTCTGGAGGGCTCCCAGGCTGGTAAACACAGCCACGTACCAGGAGGGAGCTGCATCCTGACTCCACGGGGACAGAAGGTCCAGGGCTCGCGACCCTCCCTGCCCCAGCCCCATGGACTCCTCACCTGGCTGCTCGTCTGTGTCCTTTATCATAGCCTTTAATAAACTGGTGAACATAAGTGTCTCCCTGAGTTCTGTGAGCCCTTTAGCAAATAACTGAATCCAAGGGGGAGGAGGTCACAGGAATCTTGGAACTGTAGCCGAGTCAGAGAGACGTTCTGGGTAAGCGGGGGCCTCACCACTTGCCGTTGGCATCTGAAGTGGGGGGCAGTCTGGTGGGACTGAGCGCTTAACCTGTGGGAGCGGATACTTGCCCCTACCTGATGCCTCTACCTGCTGTCTCCAGGCAGAGGGGGTCAAATTGAGTTAAACTGTAAGACACCCGGCTGGTGTCGCAGAATTATCACTTGGGGTGGGAAAGACTCCCACACATTTGGCAACCAGAAGTGTCAGAAGTGAAATGCTCTGCGTGTGAATAAAGGAGAAACATAGGAGGGAAGACTGAGTTTTTCTTTCCACTTTAAAAAGATTTTTTTCTTTTTTTTTTTGAATAGAGGTACTGGAGATTGAACCCAGGACCTTGTGCATGCTAAGCACACGCTTTACCACTGAGCTATACCCACCTGCCCCAAGACTGAGTTTTTCTTGACACACTAAAGGCTGGAGAAGAGGGAAGCGACAAAGGACGAAGGACAGGGAAGAGAAGGAGACAGGAAACCAAGGTCCATGAGAGACTGAGATAGTCATTATGTACCAAAGGCCTAAAGAGCAGTCTTTGCTCTCTTACTATCTCCGGACCCAGCTGCCCTCCAGTCCCTCTGATAACTCCTCTCTCACGTGCCTCCCTCCTGGGAGGTGCCTTGCTCTGGCCTATCAGCCCCCAGCAGACTACTGCTTATCGCCGAATCTGGCCAGCTGCAGGGGCCCCCTGTGTGAGCCCGAGCAAGTGCCCTACCTTCCCTGACTCATCGGAGAGGACCTGATACCCCGGACACCTTATCAACTAAGCTTCTGTGGATGGACGGGAAGTGGGGTGGGGGGTGGCAGGAAGCAGGACAATGCAGTCGGAGTCACTTGGGTGTAAGTCTTGGTGAGAGATGAGGACAAGGGTCCCAGGCACAGTGGCAATTCTAGATTTTGCTAGTTTCATAACCCTGGCCCCAGGCCAGCCCTCACAGGAAGCAGACCGGGACTCCTGCTCAGTTCAACACGTCATCCAGCCCACAGATCCACGTGGAACAGAGGAAGCTGGTGAGGAAAGGGAAGCAAGGGTGTGGGAAGTAGGCAGGCTAGACGAAGTCCACACCCTGGACAGTTTCTAACAGAGCTGCTGGGGCAGGGCTGCCCAGTTGCCTGGCCTGAGTCTCCCTCCAAACAAAGCTGCTGCCGGAGCTCTGTCTTGTCCAGCCCTGCTCAGGCCAGGCTTTCGGGACTCACATGGCTATGAGGCGGGCCACAGTGGTCTTGAAACGGTCGAAGATGTAGCCGGTGGGAAATGTCATGAAGTTGTTCATGAAGGATGCCAGGGTGAAGATGAGGGAGAACCGCTCATCCTGGGCCTTGCAGTCTGGAGGAGAGAAAGGCAGATCTCAAGAGCGCGGGGTGGACAGGCCGAACTCCCATCAGCCCCAACCTTCCTGCCAGGGGTGCACCCAGCCTGGCTCCCCTCGAGGGCAGCCTACTCCATCCTGGACATCTTGCCAGGTGGAAAGTCCTCCCTTAGGCGAGATAAAATATGGCTGCCCTCAATTACCCCTTGGGAGCTGGTACATCCCTCTCCAGGCACCTCCTAGACCAAGGGTGAGGCAGGGAGGCTGCCACTCCCTTCCTCTCACCACAGAAAGGTCGGCAGGGTGGGCAGGGGCCTGGAGTCCTTCCTACCCCTTCCCACCACCTGCCAACCAGACCCAACTTCCTAGAGAAGGCCCCACTCCCTTACCAGCCTGCTCCGTGACATTGCCCGTCAGTCTGGCCTGAGATTCACACAGCTCCTCAAAGTAATGTTCTGTCTTGAAGACAAACACCAGGGATGCCCAGCCGAAGAGGACGCCCGCAAAGCCGAGGCATTCCAGCAGCCCGGTCAGCAGGGTGGCCACACGAAGGGGCAGGTTCTTGCCCTGCATGGTCCGAGGTGGAGCGGATCCTCAAATCCCACCGGCGGCCTCCTGAGCTGACCACAGGAGCTGCAAAACCTGGCGTTTGAGCCCTTGGAAAATTCCTTTTGGCAGCCTCTTCTGTTCAGGTAGCTCTCTGGGTCTGGCTGTGTTAGGCTTGAGCGAAGTCCATCAATGGGTGATTCTCTGGATCCTGTAAAACAAGGAAGAGGCTTGGTACAGGGGGCTGTGGGAAAGGTAGAGGTGGACAAAGCGTCCTTTGTGAGGTGGAGAGAGGCCAGTTGTTAGAAATGGGCATAAAAAACTCCCCATCCCACAACCGGCAACTGGTGGGGAGGCAGGAATTATGGAGACGGTTCACTAAAACAGTAACAGCAGCAATTCTGAACCAGGCACGGGGGTAGGGGACTTCACAGACGTCCTCACAAAGCCTCCAGATAACCTGGAAAGTGAGTGCTTTCTTATCTTCAGTTTACTCACAACTTGAAACAAAAGCGGAGGATTTTTGTAAACTCCCCAAGGTCACGTGGGCCAGTCAGTCACATCGCAGGGCTAGTTAATGTCCCCCAAATCCCCACCTCAACACGATTCTCGCGATCCTCCGGGACCCTGGGCCAGCACGCCCCATACCCACCTCCCCGCCGCCCCTGCTCAGTCACCACCTGCCAGGAAAGGGCCCACAGGCCGCTCCCCACCCCCACCCCGCTCCGCCTCCCGCACGTGGTCCGCGGCCCTCCCCGCAGAGGCGCCCAAGGCCACCACCGAGGGGGTACTACGGGC